TTCCCTCCCTCGATGAAGAAAGCTTCGTCCTGGGTGGTTGGGGGACTTGCCCACGGCCGCGCGGCCCCTCAGCGTCCTAGCTCTGTCTGGAAGCCGGTCTCCAGGGATCTTTCCACTGCTTGCCCATGTTGCCTTCCCATCAGAGAAGCCTGATGCTTCCGGCAGTTTTCTTAGAAAGGCTTCTTAAACTGATTAACTATAATATCAAGGGTACCACTTTAAAACTGGGGCTAAGGCATCTGCTTACTGCACTTGATCTCTGTTTTACACCGGATTATGTAACCGCACTACGACTGAGTGCTGTTTGGTACTTTCATTTATCCCCCCCACACACACACACACACACTTGGGAGATACTTCTGAATTACGTTTAAATTTGTACCGCAGGTCAGAATGCAAATTCTGTAATAAAATTACTGAGCTGTGTTGCAGCTCTTAAAATTGCAGTTTCATAGGCTCTTAGTTTCTGAAATTGTGATGACTTGCTTTATTTATACATGGGCCAAGTTATTTAACTTTTTAAAAAAGGACTATGCATTTTGTTCCTTCCTTTTCTCTGTAGGTAGTGACAGTTACAAGTTCCCTTGAAAATTCTTGTCCCAAGTCCATTTTTATGCATTTAGAGAGAAGCCTCACAGCCCTTCGGTTTGGAATGGTAAAACTGAGGTTCTTTTTTGCTCATGGAACGCGCCTCTCTTAACGAATTACAGCCTTGAGGCAGTGGCCGTGGAGAGTGGCAAGAACGGTCTAGCACGGGGCAGCCATGTTCGAAGCTTTGCCGTAACACCGAAGAACAACAGGAGGTTCTTCCCGGGTTGCACAACTGCCTGTGGGGATTCGACTTGCTGCTCGGAACTACCGCTGAAAAAGTTTCCCTCCGGAGGTGCTCTCATGGGGGAAGAGAGGGAGAAAAACGCTCCCAACCCCGACCGCAGAACAGCTCAATGAGGTATGTCGCCATCATGAGCCGGTCAGCTGCGGGGCGAGGGCTCCGTGTGTGCGGACCTGTCTTCCCTCTCTCAGAACTCCTAGAAAAGACTAGGTGGTATGGAGGAAGAAAGGCCAGAAGGGAGAGCAGAGGAACATTCTGTGAATGTGGAGAAGCCAAGCATTAGAATTATGTGCACAGCAGGGACAACTGCATGCACACTGCAGATGCAGAGCAGAACCAAGGGGTGGCCGGGAAGAGGCCTGAGAGCGCGGGGCCCGGGGCCAAGTGTCACAGGGCAGCAGAGAAAGAGGAGTTCAGAGCGGACAGCACGAAGAGAAGACTGATAGGAGAAGCCAGCGCTCCGTGGTCTGCCCTCTGCCTGCGCCCGTGCCGCCCACATCTCTCCTCCTGCCCACCCTGCTCCTGCACCTGCAGAGATAATGGGGTGCCCCCACTTGCCGCCCCGCTCCCCTCCAAGCCCGTCTTGGAGGCTTTTCTCCTCCACCTTCTAATCATTCATTCATGTATGCAAGCATTTATTCAGCAAATGTTTATTGAGAGTGGCTTCTGGGAAGAGTCAAGATTTCATCTAGCCTTGGAGCACAGCTGCCAGGAAATTGCGATGAGGAAGTCAGACCTGGCACCGTTCCAACAAAAGCCTTACTCACCTGCAGCATGTGGTGACCCTCTAGGAGGACTGGGGTCACTGGCAAAGCAGTCTCCTCTCTCCAGGTTCCTTCCCGTGGTGGCCAAGTGGCCGTTTGATCAGAGCTGACTGTGCATGTGAGTGGCCAAAAGGCAGATGGCCTGGGAAGCCGGGCAGTTGGAGAAATGCCCTGTGATCTTGACCAGGGGTCAGATGTTATGTTACTACCACGTGATACTTGACTTGTCCTCTAGCATTCTTCCGCAACCCCCAGGCCAGCTGTGTGCCCGATGCTGAATGTTGACCCCCAAACACCAATCTCGGGGGTGGGGGGGGCTTCACTGGGGACGGAGACAGAAGATGGGATTGGATGGTAATGCTGGATTTCCACTGTAAATATGGTGATTCCTACAGTGTTCTCGAACTTTCATCTTCTACTTCTCTCACACAGCCTTTTGTTTTGTTTGAGATTTTTGTTTACAAACACTGTTGTTTACATTTTTCATTCAGGTGACATGCCTGTGATTCATTAACGAACAGTACAGAGGGACTTACCCTTGCAAAGCTACAGGGTCAGACTCTGCTCTCCCCTTTCTTAATTTTGCTGCCCTTAGGCCATCATTGTCATCCGTGACTGTTTTTCTTTTGCTTGCCATCTCTGCAGCTCTAAATAATAAGCTTCTACTTCCATTTCTTGATTTATCGACTCTAGACCTCGTTTATTGATCCCCCGGGACAGACGATTTCGCTAGACTCTATGGCTCCCACATCCCCTTCCTGCCTCCGCCCAGGATAGCAGTTTCATGATTCTTGTTTCCTTCACTTTGCCCTCAGCTTCTCCTCCCAGCTTTGTAACCTGAACCTCTATTTTCACAAAGTCAGGGTTGATGGGATTTACACCATGTTCCTTAAACAGAGTCAAGTCTCCTGAGATTTGCCCCCAGGTTGATTCTAATTGTTCCAAGCCAATAAACAGCATTTACATTATCATAACTATGTAAATAATATCCAGCTAGAGCCAAGCGGCTCTATGGTTCTAATATCTCAACAACACCATCCCTCAGAGGGAAATGTTTCTGGAGGGAACTTCAAATGGGTTCTCCTTTTGTGTGTTCTACTGTGTAATCAAAATAACATTTGAGTGCAGTTTGCTTTTTATTTGAACTATAACTTTCTTTTTTTTTTAAGATTTTATTTATTTGAGACAGACAGAGAGAGTGCACACAAGCGGGGGTGGGGAGTGGGGGGAGGGACAGAGGGAGCCGGAGAAGCAGACTCCCCGCCGAGTGGGGACCCTGACACGGGGCTCGATCCCAGGACGCTGAGATCATGACCTGAGCCAAAGGGTGATGCTTAACCGACTGAGCCACCCAGGTGCCCCAGGACCATAACTTTCTAATGATGGGATCTTTTTGTTTTTCTTAGAGTTACTGATTTTTTCTTTTCTTTTCTTTTCTTTGACTTGCATGTCATGAGGTTTTTGATATTGTGACGTGGCTAGGCTAGAGTCCTGTTATTCAAACTCCAATCTAGGTGTTGCCGTGAAGGGATTTTGAAGATACAATTAAAGCCCCCAATCAGTTGATTCTAAGTAAGGGAGATTAAAGTGGTGGGCTGAAGTTTCCCTCAGAAAAAAAGAAGAAATTCCTCCCAGCTTTCAGCCTGTATCCATGGTTTCAACCTGCAGTCATCTTCCTTTCCTGATAACCTGGCCTATAGATTTCAGACTTGTAGAGCCATCCCCCACAATCGGGCGAGCCAATCCCTTATAACAAATCTCTCTCTCTATCTACCTCTCATCTCTCTATCCCTACATCTAATCTATTATCTATCAATCCTCTATTGTCTCTAACTAGTTCTTTTCTCCTTGAACACTTCTGGTCCTTTGTCACATCTTCAAGTTTTACCAAAGTCTTCATCCTATTATTTAGTCTACCAAATGCCCCCCCTTTTTTCTGGGGCCCTCCCTCCTGGAACTGTCTCCGTGGCCCTCCGTCTATGTAAGTCAGCCCAGGCGCGGATGACCACTTTCTCAGGACTTACCTTCACTGCTGTCCCAGGTTGAATTTACGGTTCCTGGATTCTGTATCATCCTCTTTGTTGGCTTTCTTCCTCATTTTGTTGGAGTTCAGCTAAAAGTTATTTCCTTAAAAAAAAATAAAATAAATAAAGGCCAACGTTGAGAAAATGTCTTACATTTCACTCTCCCCCCAGTGGATAGTTTGTGTTAAAGAATTGCAAGTTGAAGGGTGCCTGGGTGGCTCAGTTGGTTAAGCAACTGCCTCCGGCTCAGGTCATGATCCTGGAGTCCCAGGATCGAGCCCCACATCGGGCTCCCTGCTCAGCGGGGAGTCTACTTCTCCCTCTGACCCTCCCCCCTCTCGTGTTCTCTCTCTCATTCTCTCTCTCTCAAATAAATAAATAAAATCTTAAAAAAAAAAAGAATTGCAAGTTGAAAATATTTCCCCCAAAGAACTTTGAAGGCACTGTTAGAGTTTTTCCTTGCTATCTAGGATTGTTGGTGAGAAACTGATGCCAGACTGCTTATCAATCTTTTTTAGAGGATCTCTTTTTCCACTGAAAGCTTGTGGAATTCTCTTCATTCTTCGTCATGGTGAAAGTCACAATGATAGTTCTAGCTGTTATTAAAATTATTTCATCAGTTTTGCTAGGGACAGCCTAATCCCTAGAATCTGTGAGCATGTTACCTTGCATGGCAAAAGGAACATTGTAGATGTGAGTTGAAGATCTTCAGATGGAGAGATTAGCCAGATGGGTCCAATGAAATCACAAATGTTCTTGTAAGGGAAGGAGGGAAGCTGGAGAGTCAGAATCAAAGAAGGAGCTGGGACTGGGAAGCAGAAGTGAGAGAGAGGGGTCAGATGGAAGACACCATGCTGCTGGCTTTCAAAGCAAAGGAAGGAGCCACAAGTTAGGGAATGCAGACAGCCTCTAGAAGCTGAAAAATCCAAGGAAACCGATCCTCCTCTAGAACCTCCAGAAGGAACCTGCCCACCCCTTGAGTGTAGCCCAAGAAGATCCATTTTAAACTTCTGACTTCCAGACCTATAAGGTAATAAATTTGTGTTGTTTTAAGCCACTGAGTTTGTGGCAATTTGTTATAGCAATAATATGAAACCAATACAGATTTCTGAGAGATTTATTCATCTTTGTCATCCAGCCCTTCAATTGAATGCTTTATTTCAGATATCGTATTTCATTTCCAAGACCTATTATTCCTTGATTGTTTCTCTTCTATAGGATCCAATTCTTACTTTGTGGACATGTATCTTCTTTCGGATAGAGTATCTCAAAGTGAATCTCAAAGTGAATATCTTTTATTTTCAAAATTTCTTTTTTTCCAAAAATTTTTGAAATATCTTCTAATTTTTTTTTCTTTATCTGCTACAGATTTTTCTGGGTTTTTATTATTGTTGTTGATGTTTAATCTTGGACTTTCTACATCACGGTGCTTGCTTTTCTCAAATGTTTGTTGAACTGCTATTCTCCATTCATCCTAAAGAAATAGGCAATCAAAAGGCTGATTAGAAGCCTAACACCCTCTGAGTGTCAGCAAGGGGCTTGTTGACCAGGAGGGGTCCCTTCATAACCATTATGTTAGGGGCATCCTAAATGCCAAAATGAGTAGAGTTTTATTCTGGAGTCCAGGACCCACGGTGGCTACCCAGTTCTTCCCAGAGAGTTTGCTGTTTAGTGCCAGATGCTGTGCTAGATGCTTGGCATATAATAGCAAAAATAGATGTGTTTCCTGTCCTCACAGAATTAACAGTCTTGTGATCATACAAGAAAATGTAAAATTATGACCAGGGTTAGTGCTCTGAATGATTGGGACATTAGTCTATGAGAGTGCATGGGAGCTTGCTGACCAAGTCTGAGGGATAGGCGAAGGTTTCTGTAAGGAACTGACTTAGGAGTAGCTTAACTTTCAATACATGCCAGTGTATATTTTATAAACATGGATGTATAATATTATTGCATATATGGATTTCCTAAAACACACACCACGTGAGAAATGGTCAGAGTAGGAGTGAAAATTGTTCAGCCTAAGTGTCGGGAGACCTGGGAGTCCCGGAGTCTTTGAGTTTCAGCTTTGCCAATGGATGGCTCTCTGGCCTTAGACAATTCGACTTGACTTCCCCGGGGCAAGAGTCCTTTTATCTGTAAGATGAAGGGATTGGATGAAATGATCTGTTGGGTCATCTTCTGATCTAAACGTCTCTCAAGATATGTACATTTCATTAAGAGTTTTGTCTCCCTTAAGTGTCTTGACTTAAGAAATAATTCTGCTCAGGTCAGGTACATATACTTTGCAATTCTAAGGATCATTTGTTCAAGAAATATCTTTTGAGTGCATATTATCTAATTGCATGAGCATGTAGAGAGAAACAAGGGAACGACTAAGCACATGTGAGTAAGATGAGCCATTTTAAGTGAAAGTAGAAATATATCTCTATGTCGGCAAATACGTATTTTCTTTCTCAAAGACGTGTTGACTGAACAGGGTTTCAATCAACAATTATTTTTTGAGCATTAATTATTCCTTTGGGACTTTTGCTGCTGACTTCACTTTAAATTGTAAAAGTTTCTAAACTATTAACATACAATAGTGTTGACTGCTCTTGAAGGACTGTTCATGAAACTAGATTGAAGCTTGTGTCTATGTGCATGTGTGCATGTGTATGGAGTTTATTTATTGGCAACAAAAGCCCTCCTTGGCAGCAACACAAGATCTATTTTCTAAGTCCATAAAAACATCCTTAGAAATGGACTGAGTGATTTGGCAAATTGAAAGAGAATACTTCTACGTGATCAATAAGCCAAAATAGATTTTAGAATTAAGCTAGTTCTGTTTCTTAAAGTGTGTGATCTTTAATCCTCTATTTGTTTGTGCTTATTGTTATACCTGATCAGAAATGTTTATGGTTTAGAAACAATGATATCCCTAAGTGAATCAACTGCCCATATATTTTTTTAAATAAAGATACACACTTCCATCTTTGAAATTAATTTCAAAGTATGCCTGATTGTGTCCCTACTTCTAATTCCTACTTTGGAGTAAACCCTCTATCCTTCAGGAGCTTAGAGTTGGTGACCCACCGGGTCCTCAAATTTAAGAGAGTTTATTTCACCAGAGGAGCCGTCCCTCTACTCACAGTCAGTGTGAGAACTCAGGTGCAGTGTACTCGCACTGTACCTTGCAGTGCGTACTCGCAGAAGTACCTTGCTGTACTATGACTTTTATAGGTGTTGCTGAGGCAGTGAGAAAGGAGGAGACATGATGACAAGGGCAGGGGAGAGCCCTCACTCAAGTCCTTGCAAAAGACTATGGCTTTCACCAACTCATCCTTTCCTTCCTGAAAACAGTGGTTCCGCCAAGTCAATCCCTTTTGATCTCCAAGGGCCTTTGAAATAGGAACATAATTACACATAAGGTTTTGGGTGGCACATGGAAATACTTAGGGAGCATCATCTTTGGAAAAGATGGTGATTTCTCTACAGATTTCAATTCAAAAGCCAAATTCCTTTCCTGGAAGATGGTTTGCATTTTTCCCATTTTCTCCCTTGAACTTTGAGTTTCTGTTGCTAACCACCATCAGTCGTCCGTCCAGAGTGTGCAAGAGATGACAACCAATGCACAAATAAATATACGTGAATTGCTAACAGGTGTCTCTAGACATTATAGTCACTTTTCGGGATTCATCTAAGAGCTAGGTCATAGGCAAATATGTTAGAGACACACATAACCTTGATCAGCTGTGGCTCTATCTAAATAGTCAAAATGCAGCTGTGGAGGGATTAGGAAAAGCTGACCAAATCCTTCCTTAAAATAATGGCATTAAAATGCAACCCAGAAGAGATAAAACGAATGGAGACATTTATGTATTTCCTGAACCTACAAAGTCTGTGCCAATAGTTCAGACCTGCATTTTAGTATTATACTTACATATTCACAAATATGGAATTTTTAGCCATTTAGAAATAATACTGTAGACAAATACTGGCATGGCAAGAAGTTTGTGGTAGACTGTTAATTTAAACATCAGGTTTCAAAAGTGTGTACAGAATGGTCTTCTTGTAGTATATAAATGTGTATATTTATAATAAGAAGAGGGCTGAATTGATACCTAGATATTGTTAACAGTGACAACCCCCAAATGGTGGGATCATGGGTGTTTTACTCTTTTTGCTGATCTGTGTTTTCCAACTTTTCTTCCATAAGATCACATTGCTTTTCTAATAAGAAAAAAAATTGTCATTTAAACATACTGTATAACAAAAAGTGTTAAGATCATTTGACAGCAACTGAGCCACTGATAACCTGCAGTGATCGCATAAAACAGGTGAAAAACAAACAAATGGCAATATAAATGATTCCTTTCATTCTGACACCAATTCCAACGTGTGGGTTTTTTCCCTACCACCAAGCAATTCTCCAACACTGCTGGGTGTTCTACAATTCAATTCAATTCAATTCAATTCAATTCTGACACTATCTACAAGAGATCACCTCAGATCCCATGGGGTCAGGGTTCAGTCCTATGACATCTCTCACCCCCCACCACACACACACGCTTCAGATGCCAAATGCCAAGTCCAGGTTGTCATCTGTGCTTCTGACCCACCAGCTATAGATCAGAGGTTCCCACGACCCCTCCTTGGGCTTGGGTAATTTGCTAGAGCAGCTCCCAGCACTCAGAGAACCATTTTACTTACTAGATCACTGGTTTATTACAAAAGGATATAACTTAGGACCAGACGGAAAGCTGCAGAGGGCAAAGTGTGGGGGAAAGGGCAGAACTTTCAAGCTCTGTGGACCAGCCTTTCTCCCAGCACCTGCACATGTTCTGCAATAGAGAAACTCCAAATCCCATCTTTTTGGGGGTTTTATGGAGGTTTCATTATATAGACATGATTGATTTAGATCATAGGCTACTGGCAATTGATTCAACAACCTCCAGCTCCTCTCGCATCTCCAAGGTCGGTGGGATGGAACAGGTATTTTCAACCCTCTTAGCAACTGATCGATTCCCCTGGCAGCCAGCTCCCAGCCTTATGTACTTTCCATAAGCCACCTCGTTAACATAAACTCAGGTGAGGTTGAAAAGGGTTTGTTAAGCATATCAACACACTTGCATTGCTCTCATCACTTAGGAAATTCCAAGGGTTTAGGGAGCTCTGTGCCAGAAATGGGGATGAAGACCACATGTGTATTTCTTATTATAAATCCCAATCTCACAATTCTGTAGGGCTGGCCTTTCGCAAAGTGTGCTTCCCAGACCACAGGTCCCACAAAATGCTATGTGAAAAATAAAAAAGAAAGGAGGTCCATACCTGATACTTGGAATGTTTTGTTTCAACCTCACAGATGATGGTAAATGGAATCCTACTTCACTTTGATTTCATTTGGCTCTAAAAAGTGTTTTTCTAGTTTGGGAAAAGCATTTGGATTGCTTTCTTTTATTTTATTTTTGGAGAATATGACATATAAGGATGTCCCATACTGTCTTGGATTTCCCCAATGAATGAAAAAAAAATCAAGTGTTAAAATCAAACTTGTTGATTAAAAGATTTACCCCACAGTTTGGTCTTCTTAAGAAGTCCTGATAGTGACAATACTTAAAATGAGAAAATTTACACTCTGGCCTGATAACCTGAGGCTATTAAAAAATAGAATATATCATTGAAATGTGCCACTTGAAAACACTACTTACTTATTTAAAAAAATTGCCATTATCCGTGTCATGAGGAAATGCTTCTATCTCATCCCCGATTTCAAAAGCTTGTCTAAACACTTTCACCTTGATAAACAGTTTACTTCTGTGTGGAAAAGAAGGCTTGTACTGACTGACAGTTTCTTCACAAAGCAGGCTTCAAAGGTAAACACTCAGTGACCACAGTTTGAACACATTAACCATGTTCACCAACTATGTCCTGAGATGAAGCAATAGGTAAAGGGACAATTTCTCCAACGGGCAAACACTTCCTTGTTGAAAACATGGCTGATACCGTGGGTGTCTTTCCAGCCTGCCTCATGGCTTACAAAATAATTGCCAATTACGTGAGATATCTCCTCTAGCACGAGGGCGGAGCGCTAAACTCACCGGTGAGTCCTTGAGCACCTCCCTTCTCTATATTTCTGCATATTTCTGCCAAGTGTTGATTGATACTCTGCACATCTGTGATTCTTGCCAAATGTCTGCTAGTGGGCACTCATGATAAACATTGCCCTTCTGTGCTATATGCCATGAATATTACATGATGTACAATGGCACTCTTCGATTACGAAATTCCCAGTACTAATTTAAGTTTCTTCCCGGGCATGGTAATTATCATTAGCCTTACAGCTGGATTTATAAACCTTTTAGCAACAGGGTGACTTCCTTATTTGTTGTTGTTGGTGGTGGTGGTTTTGGTTTTCGGTTTACAATTTCGAATAATGTTTCTTTAGGTTGGGTCTCTTCACCTTTAAATGACAAAATTTATCAATTTCATATTAGAAAGCATTATTTTATGCTTGTTCAGGAAAAACTCAATTGGTTTATCAGAAAGGTCACTGTACTTTGAAAGCAATGCAAAAGCTTCTGTGGCTTCTTGCCATTCCTTAACAAAGTTTTGTAACAGACAATGCAATAGAAACTAGAGGCAAATTGATTGCTGGTCTGATAAAATCCAATTTTCACATATTCATCAAGATTCCCTTGTTCTAGCACACATGGTTTCATGTTCGATATCTGCATTGGACTCTTGTTCACCGTTTACAGGGCTCTGTTATGTTGACGTTATCATTGCAACACAACTCTTAACACTTAACTACCTGTGAATACTTGATTTATTTCTGTGAATTGGCCATCATAACATGCAATAAAACACGTAAAACTAACAGATGTAAATAGCACTTCAATGTATAAAATGCAATAGTCAAGGCAAAGGGCACCATGAACGGAATAGTAGCTGGGATGAACAACTTTTAGGAACATAATGATTTTTAAGTATGCAACTAGATTTCCAGAGAATATAATAAATTAATCTTAACTTTCAAATTTACAAAATGAACATGAAATTGTTTCCTTGCTCTTTCCTTCTTATAGGTAGTGGGGGGAACACCAATGACCCATGGTTTGCCTGTGAGCAGCACTTCTCTGTGGGGTATGTTTTGGGGTGTTGGAATGGCTACCTGGCAAAATAGCTCATCATCCAACTAGCCTGACATCCAAAATCCCCAAGTCATTTGTTATTCCTCCTACAACTTCAAGATAGATCGAAGGATTTTTTTTTTAAGATTTTATTTACTAATTTTTGAGAGAGAGAGCAGGAGCTGAGGAGGGGACAGAGAAAGAAGCAGACTCTGCACTGAGCAGGGAGCCCAACACAGGACTCGATCCCAGGACCCTGGGATCACAACCTGAGCCAAAGGCAGATGCTTAACCGACTGAGCCACCCAGGCACCCAGATCAAGTGATTTTTATTAAATATCATGAAGCCCATAGCATGAAGATAAGCTATAGACATGGACTATATATATAAAACAGACAGTCTTTACCTTCCAGGTCTTATGATTCAGATCTTAAATAAATAAGCACAAATAAATTGCAAGCTACCAACTGTGGTAAGTGCTGAAGGAAAAAAAAAGATGAGAGAGAATAAGAAAGTGGTGGGTGGGGATGGAAAGGTCCAATTTAAACTGATGGGTCAAAGGCAAGTTCTATGTGAGTTATTTCCTTTGAGATCCTCAAAGACGAATAACCCATGGGAACTTAGGGCATGTTCTTTTTTCTTTTTCTTTCTTTTTTTTAAAGATTTTATTTATTTATTTGGCAGAGAGATACAGAGAGAGAACAAGTAGGCAGAGAGGCAGGCAGAGGGAGAGGGAGAAGCAGGCTCCCCGCCAAGCAGGGAGCCCGATGCGGGGCTCGATCCCAGGACCCTGGGATTATGACCTGAGCTGAAGGCAGCTGCTTAACCGACTGAGCCACCCAGGCGCCCCCATGTTCTTTTTTCTAATAATATTTGTGTAATGTAGAAGTAACTAAAAACAGCGCTTGTTCCTTTGTTCTATTACTATTATTATTAGTGTTTATGTTATGGACGCTGTTCTAGACTCTGGAGGTATACTTGTGAATGAGACAGACAAGAGTTCTGTTCTCATGCAGCTTCTGTTCAGTGTTGAGATGCTTCTCAGAATATGAAAAAAAATATGACTAAACTCTGGAGTAAGCCATTAAAAAAGCTTATGAGGTATCATTTCATCAATAAGACAAATTCACCATGGGGATAAAGAAAAGTACTCTTGCCCAACAACACTCCACTGTCATCTGACCGAATGTTTAGATATATGTAAAAAGAAAAAAAAGTATATAACATTCAAAACTGGTGATCAGCAACATAGGAGATAAAACCCTAAAATGGAGCTGGTATATCAGGTATTATAGATCAATGATGCTAACTACTAAAATCATCTTACTCCTCTTCTGATTGAAATTTGGCCTCAAATGGAAATTGGCCTGTAGAGAGAATTATTCAGAAGTACACGTTATATTTTTATAACCAATCAATAAATTGGCGTTCTGTCACACACTTCAGTGTCCATGAGTGTGCTTAAAATGAGTCTTTACCTGAGAGATCATAAATCAAGTGTGAGTCTGCCAGGCTGAAGTCTGGTCCTGGATAGAGAAGAGCAGTCAACCACGGGTGGCACACCCTGGTAGTCATGTCGGGTTGACCAGCAGGCTTTCCCCATGAGACTCCTGGCTTAGGGTAACTTCTCTTTCCAATCAGCAATTTGCATTAATCAATAATCAGGAGATATTTGGGAGGCACTCCATCAATTATCCCTAGGGAGGAAATAATGATTTAAAAATGTGAGGTAAGAAATGGTTATTTCAAGGCTCAGAAGAAACCATTTTCAAAACATTGGCTGATACTCCAAAGAACTGTCAGAATAGACAAAAAATGTTGGAGAAATTGAACCTGCAACTTTTGATCCTTTCCTTTTATAAGTATAGTTGCTTTCACTATCAGTAGGAAGACGGGCTAACACAGCCAATGGAGTTCTTTTAATTAAGTAAATAGACATTTTTATTTGTTCTACAAGCTGAAATAATGTATGAGATTAAAAAAAAAGCATTCGGCAGTTCGGTCTCGTCTCCCTTTTTTCTGAAATTGAAAAGAAACAAAATAAGCACATTTGGATTTGGTGTAAAAGGGACTAAGGATATTTATCATAGACAGTTTAATATTAGTCTTCTGAGACCAAAGCTACTCTTTCCAAGTTCAGCAGAAATACACAAACAATTTGATAAATATTGAATTATGCTTCAAAGCAATTCTCATACTTTAATATAATCTGTTTTTTAAAAATGTATTTCCTTCTACTTTGAAATAAAAGTCCATCACCAAATACAATTTAAAAAATACATTGAATTGCTTTTCATCTCAGCTTAGGGAAGAGCCCTTGCTTGCTTTTATAGCATCACCTTTAGCAATTTTTCTCCTGAATGAGAGGAAAGGAAGCTTGAATGTTTCCAGAGAAATGTAAAAACCAGGCTGCCTGTAAAGTGATATGGTCATGTCAGATACATTGCACGTACTACTGTCAAGTTAAGACAATGTATTTAAAGACATTTAAAATTAAATTATGACAACTATTTTGGAAAATTGATTTTTCATTTTATGGACTTTTGTGTAAACTGGAGAATATTTAAACATTTGAAAACATTGATCCAGTTTTTCTACACCTTGCACATTAGGATCACCTGGTTGGGAGAGGGGTAGAGGGTGGGGAGGGTTGATTGTAAAAATACCGATGCCCGGTTCCCACCCCTGAGATTCTGGCTCCCCAGTTGATTATAATCTGTCATCAAAGTTAAGAACCACTGCCCTAAGGTAATAATTGTAGTAATGTAACCATTTGAACAGAAGTCCAAAATGCATTTAGGTTTAGGTTAGGTTGCCAGATAAAATAGAGGATGCTTAGTTAAGTTTGAATTTCAGATAAATAACAAAAACATTTTTAGTATTTGGAATATTGCATTAGATGCTGTATTTTTATTTGCTAAATCTGGTATCCCTACGTTTTCTTTGCTTAAAACCTCTTTGGAACAAAGCTGTTTATCTACTATTGGAGTTATTTAGAAAAGACTTCTCTGGGTCTGATGACAGCAACGACAAAACTGGGTAAATGCGTTAGATGTTCTCCTGTTCTGGGGTCCTAAATCAGCTCATCTCCTCTCTATACTTTCAGAGTGTTCCTTCTGTTGTGTCCTGCTTCTAATGATACCAGTTCTTTTTGGGTTCCCCAGACCCAATCCCAACATGGGTTGGGGGGAACCCCACACAAAACACTCACTTCTGACACTGTCTACCTGGAGACAGCATCAGATCCCACAGGTTAAGGGTTTAGTTCTACAGGACTGTGTCCCACGTATGCCCCACGCATGCCAGTGGCAAGAAAGTCCCAGGCTGGTAACGTGCTTGTGACCCACTGGCTCCAGATTGGAGGTTTGGAGGTTTTGGCGACCTCCTCCTTAGGTCCTTTTAGTTTGCTAGAATGGCTCACAGAACTCAGGGAAACACTTAGTTTACCAGTGTATTAAAAGATACAATAAAGAATATAAATCAGCAGCCAGATGAGGAGATGCGTAGAGCAGAGTATATGAGGAAGGGGCACGGAGCTTCCATGCCTTCTCTTAACTCCCTCATTCCTCTCCCCAGACGCAAGCCCCTCCAGCTCCTAAAGGTAACCATAATAGTGACTTTTAAAATAATCACTTTTCTATTTTTTCCCGTAGTTTCCCCACCCAAGTATGTATCCATAAACATTATAATTTGCTTATTTTTGAACTTTAAACAGAATCATGTAGCATAAAGATTTTATATCTAGATTCTTTCCCTGAGTATTTGGTTGTTGTGACTCATTAGTGTTCACCCATGTAGCAGATTATTTATTTGAAAGTATCACAATTTATTCATTCTACTGTTAATGGACATTTGTTTCTTTCTATTTTAGGGCATAATGCTTCTGTGAACATTCTGGGTTTTTTTAAGATTTATTTATTCATTTGAGAGAGAGAGAGAGAGAGAGATATCACAAGCGGGAGGGGCAGAACGAGAGGGAGAGAGAATCTCAAGCAGACTCCATGCAGAGCACGGAGCCGATGCAGGGCTCAATCCCATGAGCCTGACATCACGACCTGAGCCAAAACCAAGAGTTGGACACTTAACCGACTGCGCCACCCAGGTGCCCCTGAACATTCTTATACGTTCCTCCAGGGACATGACTGCAAACATTTCTTTGTGGTATACACCTGTGAGTGGTATTACTGCATCATAAGACTTGCATGTGTACAATTTCATTTTGAAATAATTTTAAACTGTTAGAAAAGTTCTAAAAATGGGGCCCCTCCTGGCTGGATGTGGAGTCTGCTTAAGATTCTCTCTCCCTCTCCCTCTGCCCCTCCCTACCCTCAAAAAAAAAAAAAAGAAAGATTGTAAAAATGGTACAGAGAGTTCCCATATACCATTCACTAAGATTTCCCTAATTATAACATTTTACATAATCATAGTACTGTTATCAAAACCAGGAAATTAATATTTATATAATACTATACACTAACCACACACCTTATTTGAATTTTGCCAATTTTCTTCCTTTCAATACTTTTGTATCCTTACATTTTAGATGTGCCCCTTGTAAAAAGCATATGCTTTGATTTTTTAAAATCCAGTCTCAGAATCTGTCTTTTAACTTGAGTATTTAATCCATTTACATTAAATATAATTCCTAATAGATAAGGGGCTTATCTGTGTAAGTCATTATAAACTACCATTTTATTTTGTGCTTTGCGTTTATTTCTTCTGTTTCCTTTTCACTACATTTGGGTCTTCTTTTGAGTTGATTCGGTCATTTTTATCATTTTGGTTTCCCCCATTCCTTTTACATAGAAATTACAATACAAATATTTAACTTACTGAAACCTAAAGTTAATCAATATATTTATCTACAAGGACCTACAACACTTTTAAGTCCATTTACTTCTTGTGCCCAAATAACATTTCATTATTTTAATAGATTTTAAGTCTAAGTTGTTTTTCATTCCACTAAACCTATCATTTTTGTTTGAAACATGCAATACTTGTTCACATTTACTCATACCATTTGGTCCTTCCTCTGCCCTTTATTTCCTTTTGCCTATTAGGCTCTTCCTTTCAAATCACTTCCCTTCAGTCCGGATTATATCTTTTGCAATTTCTTTTTTGGGATTTTGGAGTGGTTGTAAACTCTCTCCATTTTTTGTTTAAAAATGTTTACTTGATGTAGGATTTTAGATTAGTGATTTTCTTTCAACAATTAAAGATATTTCACTATCTATGGGCTTTCATCATTTGCTGTCAATCTAACCGAAGATTTTTTAATATAATGTCTTTTTTTTTTCCTTCTGGCTTTTTAAAAAATCTTAAGTTTTTGTTTTCTGCAGTGACACTATGTTTCCAGGTGGAGATTTATTTTGAGTGTTTTGGGTATACTTCTGGAAAATTCTCAGCCATTATCTATGCCACATCTCTTTTTCTTTCTTTAATTGGAACTGTTATTAGATGTGTGGTAGACTTTATTACTCTAAGCTCCATGTTACATAAACTCTTGTTCATACTTAACACCCCTTTGTATCTCTGCATTCAGAATAATTTCTTCTTACCTGTCTTCAAATGCACTAATTCTTTTTTCAACTACTTCTTAATAGAAATTCTGTTAAATCTCCAGTTGAGTGTTTTAATTATTTTTTATTTCTACAAGTTCTGTTTAGTTCTCTTGCAAATGTGCTAGCTTCTATTTTATAGTTTTCTATTCTCTGAAGATGTTTTAAACTTGTTTTTTATTTTTAAAAACATAGTAAGCATAGTAATTGTATTATCTGTCCCTGAAAAATTCAAATAGCTAAATTCAACATATGTTTTTTGTTTCTGCAGTTTGTTGTTTCTGTTGGGTTTTGTTCTTGGTGATTTCCTTGTAGCACTCTGTTACTTTTGACTGTGAACTGCTTTTTGTTTTCCCTTGGAAAATTATTTTTAAGAATTCCTACAGGCTGAAAGTGAAGATATTTTTGTCTCTGCCTGGTACATAAGAACACTACCAGTTCAGAAAAAGCTTAAATTCATGCCTTAAGGGTTTTGGAACCACTTTGGTGATGTAACTATGGTATGCAAGCTCCTGAAGCATTCATCTGGTTAAAACTTCTCAGGGATGGTTTTCATTTCCCATCCCTGCTCTGCTTAGAGCTAAGAAAACCTTCCTTGCAGAAGTGGGGTAGGTTAACTTTTGGCTCATTCTTAGACTGAGGGAATATCCCTTGAGTATCTTGGCTTTATTCAGGGAGGGTTTCCTTTTAGATCTTCACCATAGGTAAACACTGGGCTTTGATTTCCATTGTCCACACTCTGCAGGCCACTAAAGTGAAAATTTGCCTAGTTTAGCAAAGGCTCTTAGGGCAAAGCAACTGAAGTGCTCTGCTAACATCTCTGAGGGTCCTCCTCTATTTAGATTTTGGCCTGGAAATTCCTTACTGTCTCAGCAGATCTGTGTTGCTTTTATGAACTGGTTTTTTGTGTATTCATTTTTTAAGTTGTTCTTCCCTCCAGGTGTGAGGGTTGGCCTGAATAATGTAGCCTGCCCTATGATTGGAAAGGTAGGTCTTATTTTATAATTTTAAAAACTATATTCAACCTGTATTTCTATCCCCTTCCTCATTTTAATGTACTAGTGTGTGTGTGTGTGTGTGTGTGTGTGTGTGTGTGTGTGTGTGTGTGTTTTAATTAGAAATTTCCAGGGCATTTCTGT